TTTCCTCCACGCAACCACCCTCATTCAATGGCGTGGGTTCTCGTTTTCCTCCACGCAACCACCCTCATTCAATGGCGTGGGTTCTCGTTTTCCTCGATGGCTTGTTCTCTCTTCCAAGCATAGGAGTCAGCCTTGATGTGACCGAGGTTCTTGCAGAAATGACAGATCCTGCCGTCGGTACGCTTGATGTCAAGTTTCGGCGTCAACTGACCCTATCACGGAAACGTATTCCCTTGAAAGGTTACTCGACTTCTTGGCTTCGGTTGCCTGAGCGTCGCTTATTCTCTTTGTGAAAATGGTGATCGCGAATATCCTCCACAAAGTGAGTCACCTCGTCCTTGACAGCCAGATTATTTGCGTCACTTAGGGTCAGCTTCTCAAGCTTGGTGTAACTGCGCGTGCGTGTTTTGAGGCCATTCGCGTAGACCGGCGCCAGGTCGACGCTCATTCCTTCGACTCTGAAGGTCAGCGCGGAGTATTTACCGTTATACGTCTCCATGTTAGCCGTTTGTTTGAGTCGCTGCAGCTTCTCGCAAAAGACAGCCTGGTAATTCGAGTTGAGAGTATAAGTCCATGCGAACGAGGCTTGATGTCGATGTGTGCAGATGAATGGAAATTTGAAAAGAGAGATCAGTTGAGTTAGACGTCCAAGTCCTACTTGTTTCATCCTACACACGCAGTTCTCCTAGTACCTCCTTACAGGCATCCCCTTCACACTCAAGTATCCTGCAAGAGGGAGATTTTCTGCAACAGAGATGTAATGGGTCACCATTTACATAAGTAGGTAGGTTTGATATACAAAAGTAGGTACAATAGCACGCGAGTAGCGCGTGCTGTGTTGTCGTATTCTGATTGGCTGAAAGATCAGGTATTCAGCCAATCAGGAGTCGACTTGAATTTGAGTGATTCTCAAGGGGCCAGGGTTCCGCCCTGGACCAAAATTAAATCAGAGTTTTATTTTACCGAGAATTGAATCTTGTCGTGCTAAGTACGCTTTCTCATCGCTACGTGTAAGCTAGTAACGGTAAATACCTGGCCGTTACACCTGGTAGCACTTTGTAGCCCTTCCAACGACCAAGATCAAGATAAAACACGGTCTAACGTCCGGTTCCTCGGGGACTACCCTGGAGCACGAGAATTTCCCCCATCTCACTCGCGTTGAGTGGGAGGCTCTCCACCGCCTCGCGGCGGTGTCAGGGGAGGTCGTCGTGGCGTCG